CAACATCTGGTGAACATTTCATGTTATTAGCGCCTCTAGTAATATATTTACTGAGAAAAATGTTGACGTGTTCAATACTTATTTTACCCGCTGTAAGAAAATTTCCTCCCCTGCCAAACTCCAACCAACACTCATTGCAGTTTATTTCACATCAAAACCTCTTTTGAACATTAGTGTTAGGTTAACTACAAACACTAAACTGTCCCCAAGTGTAAGTGAAAGTACGAATTTGWCTTGTTTGTCTTTATGTGGCCATGTGATGGATTTGCAACCCGTCCAGGGAGCGTATATGGATTTAAACCAGTGACAGCTTACATTGATATTGAAATAGAGATTTGACATTGAAAAATGTAAAATTGAAAAAAGGAACTTTGAAAAATGAAACATTGAAAAATGAAACACTGAAAAAAACATTGAATTTATTTTGGCATTTTAAAGTAACAATGCAAAAATCTTTTCAATGTTTCATTTTTCAGTGTTTCATTTTTCAATGTCAAATCTCTATTTCAATATCATTGGAAGCTGTCACTGGTTTAACTCCATACATCTTGCCTCTCACGCAATGACAGCTGGAGATAGGCACTAGCTCCTTTGTAACCTGGAACGGAAAAGTGTTTAAAAAATAGATGTTTTTTTTTGTTTTAATTAACATTTTATCAAAGGATGTCTTTTGGATATGACTGCTTTTTATGGCTTTTTTCCCCTACTAAGGTTTTCAAAAATTAAAAAAAAAAAAAGGTTAAACTCCATCTTTTCAGAAAGCATTACCACGACACAGAGAAAACTCTGTAAACCTGTTTTGCAATTTGAACAGTAATCCTTAGATATCCTAATTAAAATAAGGAGGCTAGATGAGAACAGTTGCCATGACAATGACCTCTCTATCTCAGGTCAGGTGAGAGCGAGCGAGATCAGGTTCCTGGAGTAGATTGGGACGATTTCAGTGCTGCAAACCTTGAAAGACAGAGGTCTTTTTTTTTTTTCAGGAAGCTCCTCACATAAACAGACAAAGCTGTACCTGTTAGTCTAAAATTCCACACGAAATAGGTTCAAGGTCCTGAGACAACAGTCCCTAATAGTATAAATATGTGTAAATATATGCTGATAATTTGTTAAACAGTCGTTGCAGTTGGGTTGGACAAACTAGTCCAGTTGAACGGTGACTCAAGTCAGAGCTAGAAGCCAGTATAACCACATTCTCAGGCTATGCATCAATATTTCATTAATCATCTGAAAGAGGTCAGGAAGATGGCTCTGGAAGAGATGATGGAACTGGCGTGTCACAAATTGAGTAACTGCTGCACCATCATTTCAAGTCAATCAGTCGGTTTCTCCATGCACTCGAGGCCTGTTCATTTCCATGGACTCAATGTGGGAGCGTGTAAAAACGGAGGGTATTTGCATACGTTTGTGTGAATACCTCTGTCTCTTCATGTTGCGCTGTCTCAGCTTTAATAACCGGTTTCTATTTATTCTCCTGGCACAGGAATTAAGACTTTCACTTTGCCTTTTGTTGCTTTCCGTATTATTTTCTTTTGTCTCTTTGTTGTGTGAAGACTTATACAGAGGGGAGAATTTCTCCACAACTGGCGTCCCATCCTCCCCCAGCCTCACTCCACTTACCATTTGTTTTCCGTGCAGTGTTTACAGTCACATTTTTTTCATCCGTCTGTATCTTTGCCAGCTCCACAAACATCGCTCCCTCATGTTTGCATATTGCCTGATCCAGCATAACAAAAGGAGCTGTACAGCTCACAGGCCTCGCGTTCTCTGTCCATTTGAGTTTTCATTTCCCCTCTCCAGTGTCTTTTCCTTCCTCTGTTGTCAAGACATATCTGTGACTGCTTGAACAAGAGTGCAGGACACAAGGGGAAATGAAATGACTCATTGAAAATTATTTTCTTATAAGGTGATGACATGGTGACTGTAAGGCACAGAAATGGCTCCAACTTCCAGGTATCCTGGGGGCTAAACAAATCAGAATCTGCTATCACCCTGAAAGATTCAAATAATTATAAAAGTACACCAAAAAAGGATTTTGGGGTGCAGTAACATTTATTTAATTATTCTTTTAAATTTTACAAAAAAAAAATTAAAATTTCTAGACTACTACAATTTACTAAATAAATGAT